CAAGAAACAAGAACACATAAAGAGAAAAGATTAACAAATATTCTTGAGCAAATTGAGTATTGTGCGGTGATAGAAAACAAAGTTGCTGACAAGATGCTATACATGTAGCAGGAGACTACAGAATAACGTCTTGGATTCACAAATTACAAGTCTCATTTTACTGATAATTATATTGATACCTCATCTCCAAAGCTGTACTCTAAGTCCACAGGTATCTCTCCATTGAAATGACTGTAAAACATTCAAAATTGTTGGTATGTTATTGTCTGGACAATTAATTTTTACTATAGGAAAGACAAAAAAGCTTCAATGTACACATTACAGTTCAGTATAACCCTTAGTACAAGTTCGTATTTTCCTTTGTTTTATAATTATACATTATAATATACTATCTGATATATCAAAACAATTGAATACACCAAATGGTGCCAAGGGTAAAATTGAGCCAGAAAATACATATTTAGCTTTGCTTTTGTCAGCCTTAAGCTGTAAGTAGAATATACTTACAGTTGTACCTACATGTATAATAGGGAGCTTAAGCAACGACGACGACGACGCAGTGGACGACGCCTAGTAAAAAATGAATTTATTTTATAAGCGAAATTCGCGATTGTCTAGATCTGTTCGGTATGCCAATAGCTCTTAAAACGTGCTTAAGCTAAATATGCAACGACAACGTTCAATTCCAAATGGAAATACGAAAAATTAGCCGTTGTCGTCCACATTCCGTAGACGATGCAGAACTTGGTCATTTCACGTTGTTGTTTTGCAGAGGACGGCAAAGAAATGTACAAAGATTTATAATGCACATGCACAGCTATTGTTTTGCTCGTTAAACCTTTTGTTTAGTGACATTCTCATTGCTGTCGTCGTCATGGTTTGCTTAAGCTCCCTTCTATATTATCAAGAAACAAGTTGTAACCAAAATATTGAAGCTCAATATGTATACTGTATCTATTATAACTCTTAAATCTCATATTCAGTATGCACTATTGAGTTAATACTGTGTTCAGTGTTGTGCATAAGGACTATGGAAGATCAAGCTTTATTATTTCTCCACAAAATCCTCTTGTACTCAAAGGAGCACTCCTTGGAAGTAATAGTGATGTGCTAATCAAAATGAAAGTCCCTTTAGGGAGAATTTGATACAATATGATACAATATATTTATATAGCGCAAATTCCATAAAGTAATGTTCAAATGCGTTTCACAATATAAAGTAAGTAAAAAGGGTAAAAATAACATCTTTGTCAATAATTACACATAAGGTATATCCAGTTAACATGGGCATTGTGTGCAGTAAAACCTGTAGTAAGCGGACACCCTTGGGACACTCACTATGGTCCACTTATTAATACAGGATGTCCACTCTAAACAGGTTCTAATATATTGTACAATGATATTTAATTATTAACCTTTTGTATCACAGTGTAACACAGTATAAGATAGAAGACTGCTCATAGCACAATGTCCGGTCAGTCAATGCCTCAATCTGAAATAATCTACTTAGCTTTAAAATGATATCATTGAACAATGTTAAAGGAGTCTGAGCTGAGCTTTTAGAAGTAAAAACCCTTGAAGTGTCCGCTTATTGCCAGTTTTGTGTCACAAAATGGCTTAACATTGGTGTCCGTGTTTGCTTAACAGAGGTGTCTGCTGAACGTAGGCTTAAATGTGGGAAGAAAATTTAGGGACTCAAGCTGGTGTCCATTTAATGAAGGGTGTCCACTTAATATGGGGTCCACTTAATACAGGTTTCACCCTATTTATGTGTACAGGCTTGTTTACATCAGTGCATGTAAATTGCCCTCTTAGACAGAAGTGACCCACTCAAACCCTTACTCTTAATTCTAAGGCTAATTAAGGTACTTCCTCTGAAATAAAAGTGACAATAGATTTTTGATCAAACTTTGTCCACTGAATATTTGTCATATGATAACTTCAATTTTGAAATAAAAAAGGGGGTGCCCATGTTCATTAAGGAGCAGTGAGGCATTGAAAATGCCACATTTTGGCATTATTTAATGCTTATTATAAAAACGCATTCCCAGTAATTGTAAAATCTTTGTGAGCCCAGACTCATAAGAACACGCATTAAACTACAGTCA